TGTCATTGAGTTAGTCAAATGTATTTCATATAAAACTGATTAATAATGGTGAAGATTGGAATCTTTGGTGTTTTACCAGGTAATACTGGGAAAGTTTGTTTGGAGGGAAGTGTTCAAATTGAGTGTCACTTGTGGAAGACTCTCAGGAAGAAAGACTTGGTTATATTTCCAAAGATGATTAAACTCTAGATTTAGATGATTTCATCTGGAGATTTGTTTTATAGATACATCCTGTCAAAAGAGAGTGCCTTTGTCTTGGGCTTAGTGATCCATGATGGATCACAGAAGCACAGCTATTATGGTAGTTATTAGATTGAAATTTGGTCTGTGATGTGTTTTGTTATGTTCTGGTTTCCTAAACTGGAAAGTCCAAGGTAATTTCATGAAGGAGAAAGGAAGGTCACTCACTAATAATTTGAGTTGTGTGAATATACTGCTGCCGCAAATTTGTACTGATTATAGCCTATCTGATGCTTAGTGCTTTAATTACGTTCCATGAAAGGGGGAGGACCTGGAGTATGATAAATTTAGAGTCAATTTTATGTATTCAGTTTCAGAATGGTCTGTTCTACCGCTTTCTAACTCCCCCACAGCTTTCACTGCTGTCAGTGGTTACCTGACTTAGGAATGGAAAGCACTCCTAAAATGGGGATTTCTCTGAGGCAGTATATTAAAAGGAAAACCTCAGGTAATGGTAAATAACCTTCCTTATTCAGCTCCTTTAACTTCTAATATGCATGACCAAGTAATGCCATCTGTGGGAATATAGCTAACAAAGCATTTTTCTACATATTTTATAGTTGGTTATTATGAAATATTCATTTTTCCCTTGCACATAATGAATCTGCATGGCTGTTTAATTTAAACAGATTTTTATTCTGCCTCTTGAGAGGAGATGGATTGCGCACAGTACTAAAATTATAACATACTTACTTGCTGCTCCCCTAAACCTAGCAAAAAGCTTAAATATGCATCAGGCACATCACACACTGTGCACATTTAGAATGATAGAAAATGGGGGTTGGAAGGGACCTCAGGAGATCTAGTCCAACCCCCTGCTCCAAAAAGGACCACCTCCAACTAGATCATCTCGGCCAGTGATTTGTCCACCTGGGCCTGAAAAAGCTCTCTGAATGGAGATTCTACAGCCTCTCTGGGTAACTTGTTCCAGGGCTTTACTACCCTCCTAGTGAGAGAGTTCTTCCTCATATCTAGCCTAAACTTCCCTTGCTGCAACTTGAGACCATTGCTCCTTCTTCTGTCATTTGCCACATGGTCTACCTTCATCCTCTTTTGAACCCCCTTCAAGTGGTTGAAGGCTGCAATTAAATCCCCTCTCAGTGTCCTCTTCTTTACACTAAATAAGCCCAGTTCCCTAAGTCTTTCCTCATAAGTCATGTGCCCCAGCCCCCTCACCATTTTTGTCACCCTCTGCTGGACTCTCCAATTTGTCCATATCTTTTCTATAGTGGGGGGGAACCAAAACTGAACACAGTACTCCAGATGTGGCCTCACTGGTGCTGAATAGAAGGGAATAATCACTTCTCTTGCCCTACTGGCAACATACCTACCACTGTAACTCCCTGGTCCTTTTTTGCAGAGCTGCTGCCCAGCCAGTCAGCCCCCAAAATGTAATGGTGTATGGGATTGTTCTGTCCTAAGTGCAGGACTTTGCTCTTGTCCTTGCTGAACCTCATGAGATTCCTTTTGACCCAATCTTCCAATTTGTCTAAGACATGCTGAATCCTAGCCCTACCCTCCAGCCTGTCTTGGTGCATGCGATTGTTCCATCCTACGTGCAGGACTTTGCACTTGTCCTTGTTGAACCTCGTGAGATTTCTTTTGGCCCAATGGTCTAATTTGTTTAGGTCTCTCTGAATCCTAGCCCTACCCTACTACTCCCCGCAGCTTGGTGTCATTTGCAAACTTGCTGAGGATGCATTCTATGCCATCTTCCAGGTTGTTGATGAAGACATTCAACAAAACTGGGCCCAGGACCCACCCCTGAGGCACTCCATGTGATACCCCCTGCCAAATAGATATCAAGCCATTGATTACTACTCTCTGAACCTGATGCTGCAGCCAATTTTCTGTTTACCTTACCGGCCATGCATTCAGCCTATACTTCCTTAGCTTGCCTGTGAGAATGTTGTGGGAGACTGTATCAAAAGCCTTGCTAAAATCAAGGTATACCACATCCACTGGTCTTCCCACACCCACAGAGCCAGACATCTCACTATAAAAAGCAATCAGTTTGGTCAGGCATGACTTGCCATTGGTGAATCCATGCTGACTGTTCCTAATAGGGGTGCACTAATAGAGATTTTGGGGACCGAAACCAATAGCTGATTTTTAAGGAGACATATCAGCTGACACCAATCCGATACCCAGGGCATGGGATGGAGTTCATTGGGGGGGCGGGAGAGTCTCGCACTGTTGCACGCACTCCGGGTGAGCAGGGGTTGTGTGACACAGATCTGCAATGGGGAAGGTGGGGGGAAGGCTGGGGTCGGGGCTGCACTGGGGTCTTCCCGGAGCATGGGGGCTGCACTCCATTTCCTCTCCATGCATGGGGATTTATTGGTCAAATTTTCAGCCATATCGGGCGTATTTCCAATTATAATCAATTTTCTTTGTATCGGTGCTGATCTGACATTGGACTGACGTATCGGTGCACCTCTGGTTCCTAATCACCTTCTTCTCCAAGTGCTTAGAAATGGATTCCTTGAGGATCTGTTCCATGATTTTTCTAGGGAGTGAGGCAAGGCTGACTGATCTATAGTTCTCTGATTCTTCCTTTTTCCCTTTCTTAAATATGGGCACTATGTTTGCCCTTTTCCAGAAATCCAGGACCTCTCCATATCACCATGAGTTTTCAAAGATGATGGCTAGTGGCTCTGCAGTCTCATCAGCCAACTCCCTCAGCACCTCAGGTGCATCCCATCCGGCTCCATAGACTTGTATATGTCTAACTTTTCTAAATAGTCCCTAACCTGTTCTTTTGCCACTGTTGGCTGCTCACCTCCTCCCCAAACTGTGGTGCCCGCTGCAGTAATCTAGGAGCTGACCTTGCCTGTGAAGACTGAGGTGAAGGTGGCATTGAGCACTTCAGCCTTTTCTGTATTGTCTGTCACAAGGTTGCTTTCCCCATTTAGTAAGGGACCCACACTTTCCCTGATTTTTCTCATGCTACCAACATACTTGTAGAAACCCTTCTTGTTACTAGCTCCAGTTGTACTTTGGATTTCCCGACTTCATCCCTGCATGCCTGAGCAATCCTATTTTTGTCCAAGCATGCCTGATCCTATTTATTTGTCCAAGTTTCCACTTCTTGTAAGCTTCCTTTTTGTGCCTTAGTTTCCTAAACCAATAAAAATTAAGAAATGGAAAAAAAATACGTAACGGTTTTAAAAGTTAAAAAAAAATTATCTGTATAAATTTCTAAAACCCAAATGGGCACATTAAATTTAAAGAATAGTGATGTGACTCCGTGTTTAGGAATAAGCATTTGGTAAGATGCAACTCAATGATTTCTGCACTTGATAGATTTACCAGAAATCAATGAGACAGAAGCTGATAGGAAAAAATGAAGCGTAGAAAATCCCAGAGGTGTCCCTAGACAAATGCCAATGTGATAATATCAGCTCCCAAACTAACTTCTGTCCCAGCCGCCTGCAGAGGGTTCGGGATTGAGAGTATGGTCGGGGGTAGAAAGGTAAGAAAGGTTTATTGATTTAATAAAAACACAACTACGCGTAGTAACAAGACAAACAATGACAGACAAGAACAGTTTGCATCGGCAACTTATCGGAAGTCCTCCCTGATACCAGATGTACAACAAGTTTACCTTTCCACAAAGCTCAGTGAAGTTGGGCGTCCCCGATCAGTGCTGTCCGAGAGGTACTGGGAAGGACCCTAGTATTCAGTCCTTGGGCTTCTTGAGATCCATGGGCCCACTGATCCAGGTCAACAGCTAACTAATCCTTTTCACAGAACTGTATCTTCCTTCTGAAAGATTTCTGGATGTTTAGCCAATTTATAGCTTCTGAACAGTACTGATAACATATAGTCAGTTAGATTCCTTTTATTTCAACTGTCCTTAGACTGACTAATAACAGTACAAGCCTTGTATTCCTTCTGATAAGGTTAATTTTAACTAGGCCACAGGGCCTTACTACTTCAAGGCTTTGCTAAATTTACTAGGCCTTAGTTTATGCAAGGCCTGACTACATCTTAAGCTTTAATTAGGCTCTTAGCAACAACATACAGCTTAATATCTACACAGATACAGAAAAACACTTGGTCACAGAGCTTTCAGCAAGCACCTTTATCACACAGACATAATTTCAGCTGTCACCAACTTAATCTTCTGGGAATGAAGAGGATGCTGAAACTTACTTAGTTGCTCTGCGTACTCCTAGCATGGGGAAGGCTGTACAGAGAATAAGGGCAGGGGAGAGGCATATTTTTCCTTTTTCAGGGCCTTCAAGCAGTAACTGTATGATGAGCTTCCAAACCCCTTATTCAGGAGACAGAAAAGGAGTCCTGGGTCATTCTCCCTTCATTCCCGGAAAAGGAAGGCAGATCCACTCTCCCCAGTCTTGTTTTTTTGGGCAGCAGCAAATATACCAGAGATGCCTGTTTTCCAACTCAGGAAGACAAGTGCATTGTATTGCATGTGGTGGATAAACCTAGTAATCATAAATAGGGACCTACTGAAATTACAGTTTTGCAGATTTTGTGAAAGTGGACAGTGCCTGCAAAATCCAAGGAAACACAAAACACTTGCTGAAAATAAAATGCTGCCTCCCTGGAGGGAGCCAGAAGTTCTCAGGTGCTTGCAGCATCCTGCCTGGGGGAAGGGGAGGCTGCCTGCTCAAAGGGCTGCTGGCAAGATGGTTGCTCCTGCCCCAGCCACTGATTGCATCTGAGGGCTGCCTGTCTTGTGGCCCTGCCCCTCTCCTCTCCATCAGTTGACGGGGGTTAGGGGGAAGGGCTGCATGACAGACAGACCTTGCAGCCAATTGGTGATATGGGGTGCACTAGGCCCACTTCAGCTAATGAGGGGTGCGTGTGGGGAGGGGGCTGCCACACTCCACCTGTGAATTGGGTGCTGGGCCCTGTGTTCTGCCTGTGACATCAGCGGGCAGCTGTCTTGAATTCTGTTGGTCCCTAATTATAAGGCACAGAAATACTACTTTGTTAAGTTTACATTTTGCAGAAATGGATGGTTTAATACTGCATCCTGCCATATTATAGGGAATGTTTCCTATTAGCCAGTCATGAATAGGCAGTGGAATTACAAAGCCCTACACATACTAATGTTAATTACAGAGCTAAACCTCTATGTGTGATGTTGAAAATGGGCCACATATATCCAGATAGTTATCTATAAGTATTTAAAACTGATTGAAACATTGCTTTTTTTGTAGTTTAAACTTTTTGTGGATAATCCAAATAAATCTGTTGCTTCTGGTCTTCAATTTACGGCTACTGTGGAATATCATCCTGACTACGAGGAAGATCTTTTAGATCGACTTTTGCTGCTGGTGGAAGAAGATGTCATTGATATCCCTTTAATAGGGTATGTTTTCTAAAATACATATAATGGGGCTGCTGTGAAAGGGAAATGTGACAACTATTATGTCTATCTCTAATGATGCAATTAATTTTCACCTAAATTTTGCAAACAAATGATAACTTTCTTTGTAAAATCAATGCTTGTAAGAATGACTCACATGTAGTGTAAGAATGACACACATGTAGGAAGATAATTGTGGTGACGTCCCCAGTCATTGAACAAGGATATACAAAAGAGTTTCGTGGTGCTCTTTTTGTTCCTTTTGGACCTGGTGGAGATGTATAACTAGATTGGCTGCAAATGGTGTGTGGGAGGGAAGGGGTTGGGGGACTTTGAGATAAAAGTGGGTTGTGGAAACCATAAGTAGAGAAAAAAGGGGACTGGCTGCTGGAGGAATATTCAGCATTATTACATGCGAATTCTGAGAGGGGAAGTAGGGAGACCCAATTGTCTTGTTGGTAATTTAGAAGGCATTGGAGATACTGTTTGCATATCAGTTGATGACAAAATTGACCTGTCTTCTTGATGCAAAATTTAACAATTCAAAGAGATGATAATTTCTAGTATTGAATACTCTACTATGTCTCTTGTTTTTTTAAACTGTAGCTGTCTGAATTTCAATTTTAATATCAAGGAGTGACTAAGAGTTTTCTCCCCAGCCCAACATGGTGCTATACAGACACCAGAAGCTGACTTACAATGAGCTGCCTTAGGTCCTGGAAATTCTAGCATGGTCCTTGTACCAAACCAGCTAATTAGTTCGGTGATAGAGCAGTATATATTAGCTTCGGTCAAGTGTTATGAAGACACAGCTTCCCATGATAGCTTGTTGAGAGCTAAGGTGTGTCACGTAGACAAGAACTAAGAAGTTTCATAGTGGACATTGAAAAAGCTATTTCTGTTTGTCTCGCTGATAGCAAGACATATCTTAATATTATTTAAGTCTGTATGAGCAAGATCCTACTTGCAGAATGGTCTGTAGCTAAACAAGGGAACAATAAATTGGTTGTCAGAATAACAGGTTATTGAGTCTATACTAGATTAATATTTTTCTTGTAATGGTGTTTTTTCTTTTTACCTTCCTTGCATGAATACTAGATTTATTTAGGAAAATAATATAAGTATCTACCTTCTGGAAATTATTTTAAGTACCATAAATAAAAAAAAACAAAAAACCTTAAAAAAATGTTTTTCCCCTTTCAAAATTGAATTGTCTCTTCTAGACAAAAAAAATCTATAGAGCAATGCCAACAGCTCAGTTAGTGTACCTTGCAAGTAAGAAATATGGTTGGTGGTCTTTGGTTAAACCCCGCCCCACTTTTTCTTCCAAAGGGTAATGTAGGTTGTGAAAGGATGCTATTCTTTTGATGAATGACCTTCAGGTCTATTTGGGGCTATAGTATACATTACAAAATCATTGATGCAAACCTGGTTTGGAATACCATAATGCAAGTTGTAAGATAATTCAGCCTAGTGTGTGATTTTTACATAATGTGTAAAGTAGGTAATATGTTTTTACCAAAACAGAATTTTATAAAAAAAAAAAGTTGGTTTTGTTTAAAGTGAGATATCTAGACCAGTGAGTTGACCTTAAACATCTCAGAATTTTTTTTGAGATCAAAAAGTTTACTAATATATATATTCATTTTATTTTATTTTGTGTCAAAGCAATAATGCAAAGCATGCACTATTATTACAGAGTAGTAATACTGTTATTGTTATAGTTTAATATAAGAGTATATAACTTTACTTTAAAGATCATAAAGTACTGAAACTATTTATCCAATCTAAAAAGAGACATTTCATTTAGAACTAAGTAGAACATGATTCTCAGTCAGGGTGCCATGAAATCCTTTAAAGGTGCTGCACAATAGCAGTGTTAGGTGTGATATGATCCACAAGATAAACCCAAAGTTTTCAAATAGAAATCCAAAGTGTCAAAAATGTCCTGAATTGTTGCAGTCTTTCTGAGTTCTTTGCAACAGAGCAATTCCTCCATTATTATTTTGTAGTCGAGAAAAGAGTGAAAGGTAAGACCTGTCATTTTCTGAGAAATACCTTTAATCTAACATGGTATGCCTTGAGTCTGAAAAGGTTGAGAAACACTGAAGTAGCATCTGTCCTCAATGATTTTAAAAATATGATAAAACAGAATGATATGATATAGTGGAAAAATAATAAAAAGTTAAGAAACAAACTCTGCATAGAATTGTGAAGCCATTTCAAAAAAAAAGTTGATTCATGGGAAACTTTAAATCCTTCTGCGTCAGAACAGAAACAAATTGAAAAAACCTGAAATTTTCCCTGAACTGGAAATTCCCATTCTTTGACCACATTTGTTCCATTTTTTGGAGCAGCTGGGTTGTGGGTGGTCAGATTGGGGCATCACCCTGGGTCTGGAGAAGCAATCAAGATCAAAAGGAGTGCTCAGAGTCTGAGGAGCCTAGTCAGAGGACAGAGGGTAGGGCAGAGCATGGAGTCAGAAGGCCATTTGGGTCAGGTAACCAAGAGATCAAACTAGGACGGGGGGGGCAATTATTTCGGCTGGAGGGTTGCTTACTGAGTTTTGGCAAGCTGTCAAGGGCTGCGTGGGTAGCCCTGCTCCTGGACAGGTGCTCCGTCCCCTGGTTGTCACCTTAGGACCAGAAGTCCTGCCCCTAACTGCTGACCTTTGCCACTGGAACTCCCTCCCCTTGCCCCTGGAAGTACTCCTTTGGGGAAAAGGGTTTGCCATCTTAAGGAAAAAAAACAACCAAAATTGCATACTAAAAATCAAACACCCATAATAATATATTTTAATTAAATTAAAAAATATTTTTATCCTGATTTTGTGTGTGTTTGTGATGTATATGCAGAAGTGATTGTATATGGGGGTTTGTGGGGATGTATGGATGTGTGTGTGTGGGTAGGTATGGGAGCCATGTAGTGCAGAGTGGCTGGCAGGTGGGCAGGAAAATGGGGAAAGTGGCGTGGGGAGTGGAAGTGAGCAGGAGCCTGAGGTCTGATCCAGTGTCCTGGGACCAGTGCCAGCAGGGCGGTAGGAGTGTGGTGTGGGCTGGCAGAGATCTGTGGAGCTGGGTTGAGCTGCACCAGCAGGGAGAGGGGGGAGCTGACCTGGCTCCACAGAGTCCCTGTCGCCCTGCTCTGGGCCCCACCAGCATTGGCTCTGACCATGCGCACCCTGTACTCGCCTGCATGGAATGAGCTGGTGCTCACCGCAGGGGAAAAGCAGTTGTTGCCCCCCTTCCCTGTGGCCAGTGCCCCATGCTGCAGCTGATCGCAGCCTGTGCGGGGTTGTCCTGCCTCTTCGCTGTGTCACTGCTGCCCCTCAGGGCAGTGGTGGCAGCGGAGAACAGGCATAGGCAGCCCCATGCAGGCTCTGAGCAGCTGCAGCATGGGGCGCCAGCCACAGTGAGGGGGAGTAGCCGCTTTCCCCCTGTGCTGAGTGCCAGCTCATTCCCTGCTGCCGCTGCTAGCCTGGGCCCTATGCCAGCTCTGGGCTTGCCTTTTGGGGCTGAGCCGTGGCAGCAACAGCTGGGCAGAAGTTGCTGTTCAGCACGGACGAAAGTGGCCCTCCCGCTTGCCGGTGCCGGGCAGTGTTTGCTGCAGCTGCCAGCATGGAGCTCATGCCGTGCTAGGTTGTGGTATGACTGCTCCACTGCCACCTCTGTGCTGCCCAGTGGCTGCTGCCATGCTGGGCAGCACAGAGTGGCGGTGAAGCAGCTGCACCGCAGCCTAGCTTGGTGCGAGCTCTGGGTGGGCAGTTGCAGCAAACAGCCTGGCAGCAGCAAGCAGGAGGGCCACTTCCCTCCGAGCTGAGTAGCAGTTTCTGGGGAATGAGCTGGTGCTCAGCACGGGGGGCAAAGTGGCTGCTCCCCCTTCCTGTGGCCAGCGCCCCGTGCTGCAGCTGCTTGGAGCCCGCATGGAGCTGCTTGTGCCTGTTCTCTTTTGCCACCACTGCCTCATGCATGGAGGAGTAGCTGCAGCATGGGGCGCCGGCCATGGGCACGGGTAGCAGAACCACTTTTCCCCTGTGCTGAGCACCAGCTCATTTCCTGTGGGTGAGCACTGGGTGCAGAGTCGGGGCTTCCTTCCTCATCCCTGCCTTGTACCACGGGGCTGGGGTGGGGTACTGGGAGTGATTGGGTGCACAGGAGCCAGCAGCAGCCAGGCAGGAGCGTGTGGCCTGTGCCAGTATCCTGGGGCCAGTGCCAACAGGGCCCTGAGCAGGGCAGCAGGAGTTCCTGGCTGGCAGGGGCTCTATGGAGCTGGGCCAGCTCCCCCTTTCCCTGCTGGTGCAGCCCAGCCTGGCTTCACAGACCTCTGCCAGTCCATGCCCTGCACTCTTACTGCCCTGTTCTGGGTCCCGCCGGTGCTGGCTCCGGAACAGTGGTGCACGCTCCCGCTTGCTTCCACCCCGCCCTTCCCCTGCCTCCCCCCGCATCCCCACTTCTTTCTTGAATTTCCTGTGCCAGAGAAGCCACAAACAGCTCCAGGGTCCCAGGCCAGAATCCTCTGCTTGGCTGTTGCAGGAGCCTGCTGTGGCTTCCCCTGGATCCTACTGTCCCTGCCCTCTGTCATCTTTGACAGGAGCCAGGGACAGATAAATATTTATTTTCTAAGTCTTGCCCACCCCTGAACTAGGAGCTGGTAAGGGAGCCAAAGGGTCAGGCTGAACTTGGTGTCTGTGGACGAGCTGGGTTAGGTAGCTGGAGAATCTAACATAGAGCCTGTAGAGGCATGAGCTGAGGACAAAAGTTTGGCTACAAATTGAGTGCTGTTGCCTGGCCATTTTCTGTTCTGGGTCAGGCTTTTTTAATATATACAGGAAAGCGGAGAAGGGTCAGCTCATCCTGGCTGGCTACTCCAGTGGTTGGGCGTGGGTGGATGACTAGGCCCTGGTAGAAGTTCTAACCACCTTTGTCCCACCTCAGTGCTCAGCTAGGGAGGTGGCAGACTAGGTTGAGCAGCTGTGTTGGGCTAGTTGAGGCTTTGGGTTTGAG